ATACTGAAAATTGCTCATATTTTAGGATTTAGTAATGTCTTGGAATGTAATCTTTTTATTTTTGGTAGTTTGTTTTCAATTTTGTGATTTCGTTTATTTCTAAAAAGAAACCAACAAATTGTCCAAACACAGTTAGCTTAGCATTTTAAATCACAATATATTTGCAATGATATCCCCGCCGCTACAGAAAAACCAGTCTCACAGCATTTCGTGTTATAGTCACGACATTTAATCTATTGATTCGTGTTCACCAACACGATTTTCCCTTTTTTTCGTGTCACACAGAACGATTTGAAAAGCAATGTATTTCTATTGGTAGTGTGTTTCGTGCCTGAAACACGTCTTTTTGTCCGTTCGGGTCGTGGAAGACCGGAAGCTGTGGGGTTCATAAAAACATGTTCTTACTCAATATCAAGCCACGATAATTGTTTTTATTTTAAATCGTATAATGTCGGACTGTTTTTGCCGTCCGCGAGGAAAATAAATGGGGCTCAGAGCCTCAGAATACTGAAATCTGTATTTTTTAAATCTTTTTTTCCTTCTAATTTGTTATTCTTTTCTAAATAACACACTGTTATTTACTCAGCAATAACACACACTTATCCTTGTTTTTATTTATTTGTTTAATTCTATAATATCTGACTTTTTTAGCGTCCGTCAGGAACTGACTATAACACGAAATGCCGTGAGACTGGGTTGGATAATCAATTCTACTAGTTTGTCCACTTAACTTAAGCTAAGTGATCGATATAAATGACAATTTCCTTCCCATTGATAGGCATCTGGTGTGTCTAAAGCCATGAGCACTGCAGCATTAAAGATTATATAACAACAGGAAGAAGCTTAAAAGATGCTCTGCTACAAAGTTAGCAACCGGTTAGATAGTTAGCTTCAGGTTCAGACTAGCCATATAGCAGTTAGCTGGCTAAGTTTGCAAGCTAGTTTATGAATCCAAAATCATGAATGACTCAATTATGACTTCCTTGAAATCTCTTGATTTTGACATAGGAAGTGATGTTCACGATATGTTATGCTAGGTAATGCTAATATAACGACACAGTAATGAAGGAAATGCTAGTTGTAATGGTCGAGGATAAAGATCAAGACATTGTGAAAGTCGTTTTCTCAGAAATTATGAAATACACGACAACAGTTAATATATATCCAAGAGTGTGTGTGTTTCTTTGTGTCTGCATGTCGACCAGTGAGGCTTGCAGTAAGCCGGATTACTCACCGGTTTCCTGGCGGGAGTATTTTGACGAGATGGAGGACGTGAGCGTCGGGGCGGACGACAGCAGGGACGTCTTCCGGATCTATAAAGCTGGAAACACTGGACCGCTGCTGGTCCTTCTGCACGGGGGAGGACACTCAGCGCTGTCCTGGGCCGTCTTCACCGTGAGTATCCAGTCGTTTAATGGCGGTACATCTTGAAAAAACAGCGATCACCAAAACATCATGTCCAACTTCAGAGAGACAGAAAGCAAAACAACCAGTAAAAGATTTAAAATGTCAGCAAAGACACACTTGAAAACCAGAAAAGAGAGACGAAACGAGACACGCAATGGTGACAGAGAGATGGTGAATGACTACGAAGACACCCGAAACAAACAGAAGGACATAATAAGACCAGAAAGACCAGAGGACACTGAAGAACTCCAAGAAATGACTTTAAATACGAAGCAAAAATCCAGTGTTTGTGACGTTGGGTTGAATGTCTCTCTCCTTGTGTCGTGTCTTAATATCTGTTGCTGTTGATGCTGCTAATGGAGCTGCTGTGATGCAAGAAACATTTCAGACTTGATCGGACCATAAGGTTTTATCGAAAGAACGTCCATGAGATGAATCAAATGTGATGGTGAATGGTAACAGCGGTCTCCCATTCTTGTTGAGGCGATATCTCCGGAACGCCAGATTGGAATGTCTTCAAATTTGGCAAAAACATCAACTCCTGCTCAAATATAATTTGATTAAAATGTTGAGTCCTTCTGTTTTGCAGAGAGTCATCGCCAGCAAAGTGAACTGCAGGGTGCTTTCCATGGACCTCAGGGGTCACGGTGAGGACATATCAAATACAGTTTGGTTGTGAGGATTACTTTGGAGGATGATGAATTGGATTATTCAATATAGATAACAGCTTTTCGGGGAAAATAGGGCATAATATTGGCTTTTTGACTTTTGAATACTGCAAGTGTTAATGCTACTGGTCTTTGATCCCAAATACGGTGCTAAGGAGCTAATATTAAGGTGACATATAAGAATATTTGTATTCATTTTTACTCCCACATCCATCCCCAGGGAACAGGAAACTGTCACTCTTCATGGATGGTAATAAATAAGGTGTATGTTGACAAAATATGATATATTTGGGACCTAACCACCAACGTTTGCACCACATATTTATTCTGATAAAGCCATAGTTTCTGTAAAATAACGAAAATAAGTGATGCTGATAAGGACGAGGGTCTTCCTGCTTTAACATTGAATACATTTCTGTCTGGTTTCAGTTGTCGAGTAATTGATGCATAATTACTATTTTCTTAAATGTCAATTAAAGGTGAAACCCTGGTACGCCAAGCAGACGACTTCTCGACTCAAACCATGTCCAGGTAACAAAACAAACACATTTCCAGCTGATAATTGTAGCCTACCTCAAATGACCAAAAGCTCCCCACGAGAAGCAGACTGAAGCATCCTTTGTGCTCCAGCCAGTCCTCACAGTAAACACAGAGCTACAGATCAAATGCACGCTGAAGGCCCTTTGAGCAGCTTTTCTCTCAGTGATCCTGCTGTTATGTTTGTTGTTTGTTTTTCATGTATTGTGTCTTGATGTTTGTCTGTTGATGTTACACATGGAGCTGCTGTGTTGCAAGTCACATTTCAGACTTGATCTGACCATTAAAGTGTTATCGTATCGTATCTAAATACTATAACTATCGTCCCTCAGCGATATAGCCAATGTGATTGGTGTCTGTTATGGTGAGACTCCGCCCCCCATCGTCCTGATTGGTCACGGTGTTGGCGGCGCGATCGCAGTTTACACAGCTAGCAACATGTTGCTAACCACCACTGTGGGACTGGTGGCTATCGACGTGGTGGAAGGTGAGAGAGCTTCCTGTTGTGTTTTATTGCAATATTTATTTAATGTTTACTGTTAGAAAAATATCACTCGTCAACGACTTGAGCTTCAATATCAGGATACATGCATTTATTATCCTCTCAAGAATGAAAGTAGTCAAAACAAAAACAAATATTTTTATTTTTTTCTCAAAATCTCAAAATTCTGACTTTCTCTCAAAAAATCTGACTTTCTCAAAATTCTGACTTTCTCTCAAAATTCTGACTTTTTCTCAAAATCAAAAAATTCTGACTTTTCTCAAAAATTCTGACTTTCTCTCAAAATTCTGACTTTCTCTAAAAATTCAAACTTTTTCTCAAAATTCTGACTTTCTCAAAATTCTGACTTTTTCTCAAAATCTTAAAAATGTTAATAATCCCTGGTCCCCGGTTTGAGCATGAACCTCAGGATCCATGTATCTGTGATCCTCTCCAGAATGGAAGGAGTCATCACATACAGAGCATCAACTAGTTCCTGAACAGTGTCCTTCACATGCTGATATCCAAGAGAGGGAGTTACACAGTCACAAGATGGAGGAATACCGGTTCTTGTAGGTGATCATACATCCTGTCATGAACAAAATACTGACTTTTTCTCAAAATGTTGGCTTTTTTCAGAAAATCTCAGAATTCTGACTTTTTTCCCTCAAAATTCTGACTTTCTTTCAAAATACTCACTTTTTTCTCAAAATATAAAAATACTCACTTTTTTCTCAAAATTCTGTATTTTTCTGAATAATTCTGAATCATCTAAAGTAACACACAGACAATCAGCACTTTTGAAACAGGGCTGAAACAGAGGGGATTATGGGATGCTGCAATGATCTGTTTCTTGTTTGGA